TGTAATCCGTGATTCCATAAATGTAAGTTTCTTAGATCTATATATTATTCGCAATCGCATGGTTAAAGCTACTACCAAGCATATTAATTCATAGTGTAGTGATATAGTATAATAACGCTTTCTTTGTGGAAACGTTTTATAATAATTTGTTTTTAACTAGTTATTATGAAGTTATCAAATTATTGTTATAATTAAATTTTGAATAATATTGAAAGTTGATAATTATTAGCAAGGAATGTAAGAAAAATGTTTTAACAAATTATTATTGCGCGCATTTTACGATTCCATAAAGAGTGGTGCGCATATTCCTTATTTTATTTATTTTAATCCTATTCTTTGTGTTTACGCAAAAATATTTATTATATATTTATGTATATAGTTAATTAGAATCTTAAAGATGAAGTATTAGTATCGCTGATCATATTAAAACTCAATCGCGGGCCCATTCTTAAAGTAACCGCTGGTCAGTTCTAGAAAGTTACTACTGCGCAGCTGCCTAGTTCTAAATAAAGCCTTCTGATTGGTCGGTTCAAGGAACCTTCAATTCCTTGCGCAATCGATTATTACTACTAAAGGAACTAAAATATAGTTAATTTTTACGTTAAATAACCATATGGAACTAAAACAATAAGCAATTAGTAAAATTGATTATGGGTCGGCAGGAGAGACAGTAGAGACCTCTCGCGGGAAGCCGTGAACTACGGATACGTTTTTTTCGTATTACGGCCAAAATACAAAGAAAATTAAATTCTAAAAGCAATATTCGTAATCAGTAGGATCGTAAGATTGGCTCTACAGAGCGATTTTTTGGAAAAAAGAGTTAAAATAATATTTCATCAATTGATAAATAAGATACAGCTCTGGTACAGCTCATGGCGGATTAGGTGCAGTTGGTCATGAGCTGTATTTTATTAATTATAAATTTTTTGAGAGCCAAAATGCAAAATCCGGCTCTGTAGCGCCAATCTAAGCTTTGCAAAGAATATAACAAAAAAATTAGAGGAAGAAATATGACTTCTTCGAGGCTACATACGAAAAAAACGGATATCACTAGAGCGATATGCAAGGAGCAGCTAATGGGGACATTTAAAATTTCTTCTCCGAGGAAAATTTTACTCGATGGCCAGTCTGGAACCAATCAGAGACGCTCAAAAAAGTTTCGGAACGGCCATCGGAGTAAAATTTTCCTCGAAGAGTACGTTTTGGAACATAGCCCTAATTCCTAACCACAAATCCTCTTATCACAGAAAAGGCTTCATCTATATATTATGTCCTTTATATGTATGATATCCATGTATGGGAGCATCAATAAATAACACTATTTTTTAGCAAATTTTATTTTCTAATAACTGGTATAAATGATGAAGACTGAAATGTATAATGAGATAACAACGACAATTCGTAATTTTCGAGGACTGTCGAAAGATTGTGTCAAGATGCTAAAGGAAAAATATAGCGAGTAAAAAGTTCTTTTTTTCAATAATGTGCATATATCAGTCAAAATAAATAATAAAGTCAAATATAATTTGCTGATTTATAAATAATTCTGCAATTAAACATCACAATTATGTCATTTTTTTGTGTTAGCCAAAAACACGTGATTTTTAAAATATTAAAAACACTGAAATCTCTCATTTTCTTATTTGTACAGGATCCATTCAAACACATTGCATAGCATTTTATCTTTAGAAATACAACAGAAAATGAAAGTCAATCATATCAAATTATTTGGGAATAATAAAAGTTATTATGATAGGTAAGTTATCTTTAAAAAGTAAGATTATTATAAATTTTTATATAGTATTTTAAGAAAAAATAATTAAGTGTTCAAAATTGCAATTATCTTTACTCATTTTTATTTGCGATATCTTTTATAAATTTTAGCTATTTGGAGGCAGTACAGAATGGAGAGCCAACAGGTATTTTATTGAGGATGGCTAAAGATATTGATGCTGCACCAGCCTTATTAGCACGTAATGTCTTGGAGAAATATTGCATGTGTGACAATGCAAATGGTATATAGTTAATACCTAACAGAAAAAGGCATAAAATAATAAACAAGCTTTGAGTTTTATTTAAAAATGTATCAAAATTATTTCAGTTTCAAAAAATGTAATTACCAAGTTGTTTAAGGATACTACACTCATTGGAGATAAGGATCTCGCATATGAAATTTACTTGGTAATTAGTCTAAAAAAATATATAGTATTTTACAACAGAAAAAGAGAGATAATTACATACTTTATCTTGATAACAGATCTTTTGACAAATCTAATATATTTAATGACAACACAAACTACTTAAATATCTTGAAAAAAATTGAAAAATTATTTTTTAAAGAACTTTAATTTTCTCTTTTTAGTGCATATTATACGATGACCTATATGGTCCTATAGCAGATGCTATGGGAATGTAAGTATCTTTAATTATAATTAGTAAATATATAATTGTCCCATTTCTTTTTTGCCAAATAGAATTATACATTTTACCTTTATTTTAAAGAAAATAAACTACATAATATTCTAAATTTTTATTAAAAATTCTGATACTTGCTCTTCTATATTTTCTCTATTTATTAATTTTGCTATAATATAAAATTGTAATAAAATAATTATTACTACTAGATTGCAGAGCATAATAAAAGCTTATTATAACTCAGATTTACAATAAACTTTAAAATATATTATTATGAAAGATCATGTCTTTTTCAGTTGCATAGGACAAGAATACGAAATAAAGCTTCAAGATTGTTTAATACAAAGAAACATTGCATTCCGCAATGAAGAACACTTACGATTACGAGGATATGATAAGACTCCGGACATCAAGCTAGAAGTTCCAATCGCGGTCAATGGCTATGTAATAAATTGGATCGAATCCAAGGCACGATTTGGTAATGTGGAAGTTCATCAAAAGTATATAAAGGAACAGTTCTTGAGTTATTGGAATAGATTCGGATCTGGACTTGTTATTTATTGGTTTGGATTTCTCGAGAGTCTGAACAAATCAACTGAGAAAAAGTTCATTATAATGGATCACTTTCCCGAAAGTATTACGTACATGGACCCGGCTTGTATCAAGCCTGCAAATAGTACATGATTATTATCGATATAATCGCATTTTACCTTTATTTATCGCATTTATATTTATGTTGTTATATAATTATCTTTAAGACAACGACGCATCTAATTGTAAATAGATTTCTCGACAATGTCTATCATAGATTAACATTATACTCTTTCTGACTTTTGTTAAACAGATTGAAATACTGTCTTATATTTTCCTGTTGATTATATAATCATATTCAGATGATTAAAATATTTGTTTGTTTTTTTCTGTTGTTAAACTTTCTCTTCACATCTTATATCTTATAAGATATTATATAGATAAATAAATAAATCAATTGCAAAATCAAAGTAAGTAAAAGTACATTACTACAAATATATACATATATTTTACAGTGTTAAAACGAATCATTAGCCTAATAAAAGGAAGATATCCATCTTGACACAATTGTAAATTGTATAGATATTCACTTGAGCATTCAGATTCTTAAATGCAACAAAATATGACAAATATTGTTCTTGTTTTATGTTAAACAATATGTTGAAAAAAGCTTATCACATTTTATCTTTCTTTTTATTTTTATCCGATACTGTGTATTTGTCATAACTTTTTGTTGGGTCAAAAGGTTCCCATCTACTCGCTGGAAAAATATGTTTATTTCTCTCGTACCATGATCTAAAAATATAAATAATTATATAGATATGTAAGAGAGAAGATAAAAACAATAATGCAATTAGACTAATGTTTTAGTAATAAATACCTAAGTAATACTTTTCCAGCATGTGACTCCTCGGTTTCAACAGAAGCATCATGCATAACTCGAATATCATCGTGAACGTCAAATGTGAACAAAGGCCCACTCTTCCCTCGTGCCTAATGACATTATATAAATAAGATGTAAGCATTACAATATTGCTTTATGAATCTATATAATATTAAATATTCTCTTACCTTAGTTACAATAAAATCGTAGAATGTGTAATGATGTGGCAAAATAAGATCTTCTTTGACATACATTAATTGATCTGCCATCACTGTTTTAAGCTCGCTAAATTCACGCCTCAAAACTTCTAAACACCTCTGAAGAAGCTGATAAATAGAATTGCCTGTATGGAGGAAAAAAAATTTTATTTGCAATAGAATTGATTATATATGATACTGACTTTTTTTATACATATTACATATATTATATATATATATATATA